TCAGCGTGGAGTTGCAAATTTGGATGTGAACCCTTTGCAAAGCAAGGAGGGGACAGCAAAGCACCCCAGCCCAGTCCTTCCTGAGACTCCAAAGTTGTGTCTGCTCTGGGGTTAAAACCCTCTAAAAGCCCCCAAACCTGCTGTAGGAAAAGCAGCCCATAAATTCTCTGAATAAATGTGGTATATAAGAATGAAAATACTCTTTTCTATAAACAACAACAACAATAATAATTAATAATAATAATAATAAAATCTTCCTTACTCTCTATTCCAGTCTCACAGGGTTTGTAGGTTGATGAAAATGGATGAACTCTGTAATGGTTTTGCTGAGTGATGAGCAGCCTCCAGAGCTGCCCTGTGGAATCTCTGTCCCCCCAGGTTTATTCTGGGTGTGATCATTGCAGTGACCCCTCAGGCTCACCCAGGGATTTCTGTGTCCCTGGCTGCAGCATCCCAGAAAGGGAATCCATCCAGGATGGACCTGCCCAGGGTGGGAACAGTCCAGAGCTGAGTCCTGGGCCATCAATCTCTGCAGGTGACCAGGAACTGGTGGGACTGGGCTGGGGATGGGTGGAACTGTCATCCAGCTCTCCTAAATTCCCATGTACTGATTGAAAACACCGTGGGAAAACCTGTGTCTCTCTTCCTCAAACAGGAGAAAACCTTAAACACCATGGGGAGTGAGGAGAGGGGATTTTAGATGCTTTCAGAGGGAATGGAAAGCCTTAAATACTGAGGGGAGTGAGGAGAGAAAAACTTAAATACTGAGGGGAGTGAGGAGAGAAAAACTTAAATACTGAGGGGAGTGAGGAGAAAAAAACTTAAATACTGAGGGGAGTGAGGAGAGAAAAACTTAAATACTGAGGGGAGTGAGGAGAGGAAACCTTAAATACTGAGGGGAGTGAGGAGAGGAAACCTTAAATACTGATGGGAGTGAGGAGAGAAAAACTTAAATACTGAGGGGAGTGAGGAGAGAAAACCTTAAATACTGAGGGGAGTGAGGAGAGAGGATTTTAGATGCTTACAGAGGGAATGAACTATCAGCAGCCCCAGGACCTGCAGCTGGAAATGGCCTAAAAGCAGGAATGACACAGGTTTTTTTTTCAACATACCATGATATTCCCACTGGGAACCCTCCCAGGTTGCAGAGGTGACATTTTGTGTCAGGACACTGTGAGAGGGCAGCAGGGATGAAGAAGGCACAGGGATCCTTCTCCCGGGTCTCCTGTGCACAGGGGGAGCAGGCTGCTCTGGGTTTTGCAGTGGGACACAGAGATGTGTGCTGGGACACAGAGATGCACTGGGACAGCTCTAGAGCACAGATCCCTCTTCTCCACCATCCCAGGAGGAGCACCCTGCCCACCTCATGTCCTGTCCTCCAGTCAGGATAAAGCTCATGAAATCCAGCATCTTCCTGCTCCAAGGATGGGGCAGGTTTTAGGTTACTGAGTCCTCCACATGCTCAGGTTTCTCAGTATCTCACCCTCAATGACCCTACCTAGACCCAGCTAGGGTTTTTTCTCCAAAAAGGTTTATTTAATTTTATTTCTTGACTAGCCAACTAACGATGCACCTGACTCATCCTCACTCCCAGGAGAGGATCTTCCTTCCTGCCCAGGTGATGGGGAGTTGGGAGAGTACAACTTTTGGCTGAGCCCAAGCCTCTAAATGCCAACCTTTTAGCCAAAATCTGCTGCTTGAGTGGCAGTTTCCCCTGCTTGAACCACCTTTCTGCTCTATCTTTGGCCTAAAATTCTCAGATGCTCAATTTAAAACAATTTCTTTGGTGAACTGGAACGTCCAAGAGATATATGAGGTTTGAGGTGGTTGTTTTTGTTCTTTTTGTATTTTAAAAGGAATACATTTGCATCACAGTGATGAATAAATGAAACAAAATAACTTGGTGCTTATTGGAGATGCTTGGAAGGATGAAGGAAGAGGAAGGTGGGAGAAGGAAAATCCACACTGCAGACCAGCTCACACTGACATTTCAAGATCAGAGTGAGCAATGGCTTAAGCCTGAGTGAGATAGGCTTTACCTTCAAGTGGTTTCTAGACCAAAATCAAAGGAGAAGCAGAATCCACCTTACATCCCTTGATATATTTCATTATCTGTAGCTGCTCAGAATGTCACAAAGGCATCTTCCATCTCCACTCCCTGCTTCCTGCGTGCTCTCTTCAAGTCACACACACTCACCCCATTTCCATCCAGCCCAGATGAGCTGCAGGGGTGAGGAGCAGCCAGGAGCAGCCCCAAGCACCTGGAGAGACCTGGAGTGACACCAAGGTGTCACCTGGACCAGCTCCTGCCTTCAGGTGTGGGGCTCCAGCAGCTGCTGGCTTGTCCCCAGAGAGAAAAATCACATCACGTCCTGGAGCAAGAGGAAAACGAAAATAAAAATGTTGCAGCATTTCTGAGAGAGAGAGGTCATGATTTATGTTTGGAGTGAAATTTGAGCTACTCCAGTCAAGGCCTCAGATTTGGGCCTTGCGAGGCCTTCCAGCCTCTGACACGGTCGGAAATTAAGAGTTTGTGGTGCAGTTAGAAATTAAGAGTTTGTGGGGCAGTTAGAAATTGTATTAAGGTGTGATGGGGAGCACTGGGCTGTCTGGGTGTGAAGTAATACAGGATTATAGTGTGAAGTTTAGTCCACCTTAAGACAAAGACAAACAATGCTTGCCAATCAGAGTGTCTTTGTAAACTGTAAACGATATAGAAGTGTATATAAACTGCCATCTTCTCTCTAATAAAAGGAGAACATTTGATTGACCATATTGGTTTGACATGTGTTTGTCCTGTCCAGCTTTCCTGCCTTATGAGGACCCTGGCTTCATAAAAATGTTCCCCCTTCTTTTATGGAGCGCTCTGGAACTTTCCTGCACCCGCTGGAGCTGCCTGGGAAGGGTGACCAGTGTGTGCTCCCGTGCTGCACAGCTCCTCTGCTCACCCTGGGCAGGGAGGTGATGGTCTGGTGTGCAAACAAAGCAACCTGCATTGATTCCCAGCTGAGAGTGAGGGCTGGGGAGGCTGGGCTGGAGCTGATGGATCCAGCTGATCCATCCCTGCTCCATCCCTGTGCTTCCAGCCCGTGGCACAGCCTCAGCATCACGGGACACAGCGAGCCTGGAGGAGCCAGCGGCTCTCAGCCCAGGCACAGCCAAGCCACTCACATTTTCTGCCTGCCTTTCCCCATCAGGAGACAATCAGATGTTCCCCAGGCTGGAGATAAAGCTCCTGCCAGCTTGGCTTGACTCATCCTCTTGATGAGAGCTCCCAGATGGAGGGGCTGGAGCTCAGGGGCAGCAGTGGCTGACTCTGCTGGGTCCTGGTTCATCAACTGATGCTGCTGCCTCTGAGATTGAGGACCTCGAGGCTGAGGTAGCTGGTGGCAGCTCTGGGAGCCTGTGGCATTCCAGATGCTGCTGTGGACTTTGGAGAAACTCATCCTGCTGAGCAGAGCAAGGCTGTGGGAAGGAGAAATTCCCTCCTGGCAGCTCAAGATGCTCAAAACTGTGTCCCTCTTTCCTGGGCTGCCCATTACCAACATCCCTGGGCACATTGCACTTTGGCCAGCAGGAAAAATCCCTGATGGCCTCAGCCCAGTGCAGTCAGATGGTTTTTTTGGGTCACACGTTCAGCTGCAAGGCACACGACTGAGCAAACCACAGCGCGGGGATGCACTGACAGCAAAACAAGCTGGGCTGTGGGCTGTGGGCTCTGTGCCTTAGGCAATAACTTTGGATTCTGTTTCATACATGCACACATTCTTCAGCTGCGCTTGGATTTCAAAGGGTTTCAGCCTTTGCTGAAATCACACCAAAGCCACCTTGTCCATGAGAAGCTTTAATTTTATCACTCAACCAAACCGTGGTGCTTATGGTGCTGATAAATCTGACCATCAGCTGCAGGTTGTTGCTGAGGACTCTTCACTGCTCTCCAAAAATCCCATCCACAGCGAGATCTTCCTACCTCCCAGGAGCACTGACTGCCCCAGCATCCTCCACACACCGTTCTGGTGATCCTGTATTCGGTGGGGGTGGGTAGTTCCCATATACTCCTCACAGGTCTCAGAGGAGGGGGAGTTGCAGATGTTAACACCTGTGGAGTGCACCTTAGTGCTGAGGGATGAAGGGAGGCTGAGCTCAGAAGGGGAAATGGCCTTTGCCCCCAGCTGGATGAGGGTGGGGTGGTGGGGAAAACAGAGACCCCCGGTGTGAATGCAGGAATTGTTGGGGCACTGTGGCACTGGGCTGGCAGGTCTGGAGGTGCATGGAGGGGCACAGCCCAGATCTCCACGCTAGACCCCCTGGGCTGTGGAAAACTTTTCTCTTCCTGAATACTGGGAACTAAGCCCTCAGCTGCCAAATAGCGGGTTCCCCACTCCACTGAACTGTCCCAAATACCAGCATGGAGCAGAGGATGAAGGGCTGGAGTAGCTGACCTTTAAAGGTCCTTTCCAACCCAAACTGTTCCATGACTAAATGATTCTGTGACCTTTTATCTTTCCTGCACACCCCTGTTGTAACCAGAGGCCCCATCCCTGCGGGGTCACAGAGCTCCATCCCTTCTCTTAGAGCAGGATCCAGAAAAACTGGAGAGTGGTAGGAGGGAGCCTGGCAGGTGGGAGCATCCCTGGGGGATGCAGAATTTCTCTCTTTGCTGCAGGAATAAAAGTGAAGAAGGTCTCCTTCCACTCCATCCCATCCAACACCCCAATCCTATCCTGTCCCACCCCACATCCCACCTCATTCCATTCCCATCCCATCCTGTCCCATCCCACCCCTTATCCCGTCCCATCTCACCGCACCCCATCCCATTCCACCCTACCGTTTATTCCACCCTGTTCCGACCTCAGCATCCCATTCCGTCCCACACAATCCTATCCAACTCCTCAGTCCCATCCATCCCACCCCATCCCACCCCATCCCTCCATCCCCTCCCGTCCTCCCGGCGCTGCCGCGCCCCCACCCCGCTCCGCCCCGGAGAGGCGGCGGCAGCCCCGGGCGGAGCGCGGATCTCTCCCGGCTCCGCTCCGCTCCTCCGCCGGCCCCGCTCGGCCCCGCTCGGCTCCGGCCCCCGCCCCGGAGTGGCTGCGGCGGGGCCAAGCCGCGCCCCGCTCCCGCGCTATAAAAGCGCGGTGCGCCCCGCAAAGCAGGTACCGGCGGGGCCGCTCCGCTCCTCCAGCGGGTCCGGGAGGAGGAGGAGGAGGAAGAGGAAGGAAGGAAGGGGGGGGCCGGGTGCTGCTGTCTCCCCCCCGCGCCTCCCCCGAACCCCGATGCGGCCGGCCTGAGCCCGCCGGGACGATGCTGCCGCTGCTGCCGCTGCTGCTGCTGGGCGCCCCGGGGCTGCGCCTGACCTCGGGGGCACCCCCGGACCCCGACTCCGCGCTGGTCACTCCCCTGCGCCTGGACCCCGACATCAACGGGCCCGCTTATTTCAGGGGGGGCCCCTCCGAGCCGCCCCGGGGCGGGCAGGCGCTGGTGATCCAGCTCTCGGCGTTCGGGGAGGATTTCTACCTCCACCTCTCCCCCGACGCGCGGTTCATCGCGCCCGCCTTCGCCGCCCACTACCTGGGGACGGCCGCCCGGCCGCTCCCCGCTCTCCGCCACTGCTTCTACTCGGGGGATGTCAACGCCGACCGCGAGTCCTTCGCCGCGCTCAGCCTGTGCGGGGGGCTCCGGGGGGCTTTCGGCTACCGGGGAGCCGAGTACCTGATCAGCCCGCTGGCGGGGGCGGCTAACGGGGGGCTCCATCTCCTGCAGCGCCGCAGCCCCGGCCGGCCCGTCGGGGCCGGAGCATCCCGCTGCGCCGTGGGCTCCGGGCTCACCCCCGGCGTGCTGCAGGCGCTCGACAAGTACCGGGGGCGTGCGGGGGGGAAAGGCGGCCGCGCCAAGCGCTTCGCCTCGGTCCCGCGTTACGTGGAGACCTTGGTGGTGGCCGACGAGTCGATGGTGAAGTTCCACGGGGATGACCTCCAGCACTACCTGCTCACCCTGATGGCCACGGCCGCCCGCCTCTACAAGCACCCCAGCATCCGCAACCCCATCCAGATCTCCGTGGTCAAGTTCCTCCTCATCGGGCAGGATGACAAGGGGCCCAAAGTCACCAGCAACGCCGCCCTCACCCTCCGCAACTTCTGCGCCTGGCAGAAGAAGTGGAACAAGGTCAGCGACAAGCACCCCGAGTACTGGGACACCGCCATCCTCTTCACCAAGCAGGTGGGTGCAGGGGGGCCCGGAGGAGCTGCTCCCCCCTGTCACGGTGCCCTGCACTGGGCTGAGCCGTTCTGCCACCTGTGTGCACGACGGGGAGGTTGTGCCTGGGGCTGATCCCTCTTTCCCAGGGAATCTCCACTCTCAGATGCTGGGGTGGGGGGACCAGAGGCATGGAGCAAGGCGACCTGGGCCAGCCCTTGCTCTCCCCTGGGCAGGTTTTGGCTAGCAGCCTTGAAAAATCCCTGCCACCGGGTGAATGAGGCTGGGAGGTGTCCAAAGGCAGGTTGCCCCGTGGGCAGAAACCTGCTGCTCTGTCTCCTGCCTCCATGCAGGAACTTGGCAGCAAGTGCCCTGTGGCTCTGCTGTGCACCCTGAAATGAGAGGTCTGAGCCCAGAAGAGGAGGAGCATGGTCCCGCTTCCCCCTCCCCAGCTGGGAAGAGCTCACAGTGCCACCTGCCAAGAAAAAAACCTCTCCCTGCTTCCTCTGACTCATGCATGAGGTTCTCCTGAGAACCTGGACCTCTCCTCAGCACTGGCTGCGCTGCATGGACCCGGTTCAGGGCTGGAAGTGAAGCACCAGAGATTCAGCCAGCACTGCAGCCCTCGAGTGGGGGAGAGCAGAGAGCCACTGCCACCACTGCCGGGGGCTGGCCGCATCCCTGTGGTGGGAGAGAGGCTCGGAGCTGCCTTTGGTGTGGCTTCGTGGTGATGTGGCTGTGGGATGAACTCTGAATCCTCCCACACCCACAAACTGGGTGTCACTGAAGCTCCCACAGCCTCTCCCCATTGTTCCTTCTCCCTGTAGTCCTGTCTCAGTGAGGACATCAGCCCAGTGCCTGCATCCCAAAATCCCTGATGGGATGGGAAGGGGATAAGCCCAGCTCGGATGGGACAGTCACGTCTTATCCTGGCTGCAGCAGGCTTTGGCAGAAAAGGCTCCTTGCATTTTCTCCTTCCACTATCCCTGCAGGGATGTTTTTGGATTAGGGACAGGTGAGGAACTCCCCTCAGCAGCGGGGAGACCATTCCCAAAACATCTTTCCCGGTCAAGCACTTGTGGTGGGTGGGAAGGATACAGCATCCAGCTCAGTTCAGCTGTCCCTAGCCTGGGCTCAGCGAGGGCTGGAGCAGGAATGATGCCGTGCAGGACGTGTAGGATCTTGTCCTGTGTGTCCTCTTGTCCTCCCCACCCCGGGCCAGCTGTAAATCCTATGGGAGCACAGACAGGATGGAAGCCCAGGCTGCTGGAGCAGCTCAAAGAGGAGGACGCTGCTGACACCTCTGCAGGGACGAGGCAGCTCCTCCTCTGGTGGAAGCCCAGTGAGGTCACTGGAGCTGCACGTGGGACAGTCGGTCCCAGCGATTCAAAAGATGTGGATCACGTCTGGGCTGCATTTTTTACACATTGCTAAACCATCCATTCCTGAAATCCCAAAGCAAGCTCAATGCAAAGGCACACGGTCAGAGAGACATCTGCCTTCCTTGAGTGCATCCATCTGTGGTCCCCTGACATTCTGAAGCTTATCTTCCTGCCAAAATGCTGTTACATAAGCCCCCGACTTAAATTTCACCTCCAGGCTGGTTGACAGGCAGTTTTCACTGTAATGATGAGTTGCTGACGAATGGGGCTCTCTTTTACTGCTTGGATTTGCTCCCTTCCAACACTGACGATGCTGAATGATGGATTTGCCTTTGGGAAACTCAGTCCTGATCAGCTGGTGGGTGCAGATTCCCTTCCTACCTGAGCCACTGCTTGCTGGAGGGTCCTGCAGAGCATCCAGCCTTCAGCTGCCCTCCTGGAAATATCCCTGCACACCATGGCAAAGGGCTTGCCCATGCTTCCCACCCCTCCTGGACCTCGTGTCACACCGGGAAATGTTTGCTGCGCATCTTCGCTTTGCTGTAAAACCGAAGGGATGTTGCATGAAGGAACATCTGCCTGCAGCCTAGCATGTGGCTGATGCCGTGGGGGAATTTGGAAACTGCAGCTCAAGCCTCAGCTTTTTGGAGTTGCTTTGGATGCACACAGGAAGCCTCTGTGACAGGGAGAGTGCGAATTAATGCACAAGGATCCCCCTGACTGGCCTGTGGAACGTCTTGAGAAGTTCACATGGGATGACAAAAAACCTTGGAAGGTCCCATGCAGGAAGATCAGGCTGGCAGGAGAGTGCTGATGCACTGAGCAGGTTGCTGCAGCCCCTTGGGGGACCAAGCATCCTCCCTGTACCTGTGCCAGAGGGGGGACACCAGTGACAAAGCGCAGAGGCAGAGCCGGCTCCTTGCACGGTGCTTTCCCACCCTAAACCCCTTCCATTTCTTTCTGCTCCCCTCCTGAGAAGCCTCAACACCTGGCGAGGCTGAAGGAGGTGTTCAGGTGGGGGATCAGGAGCTCTCATTGAAGCCCAGAGATGCTGCCTGGCATGCCCAGGCTGTCCTGAGGAGGCTGTGGTGAGGAGGGAGGGAAAAGCCCCTGAAGAGCTGCTGCTGGTGTATCCCAGCGAGGTTCAGAGCGAGAAGTGGGTCAGTGTGTCAGTGCAGGTGTTGGGCTGGGAGCCAAAGCTCGCTGTGCTGGCGAGGAAAGAACTCTTCAAAGAGCACTGAGAGCTCTTCAAAGAGCGGGGAGCTGCGAGCTGTGAGGCTGTGACATTCCTCCCCACGCCCCATCCTCACCCCCAAACCCCCAGTGCTGCTCAGAGCGTGGGCAGAGGCTCCTGGGGAAGCTGCAGCCCTGGACTGGCTCAGCGTGGCAATGGTGCTGGGTCTCGATGGTGTTTTGGGGCTGGGACTCTGCCCCTGGGCTTGCCAGCCGTGGTGGCACTGCCAATGCAGCGTGGGGCTGCCACCTCTTCTCCCTGCTGACGCTGATGTATGCTGGGTCAGGGGTGCAGCAGGGCCCCAGCTGGCCAGGAAAATTGCAGAGCAAAGCGCTGAACTCGGTTGTACGATGGGGTTTTCCACCACCAGAGCAGACCCAGACGTTTCTTCACGTCACCTCTCTGGAGATCCCTTTCTTGCCTGTGCCTCCACACTCCGTAGCCCCAGGTCTCCTGTTAAAGCCATCTCAGGCCTGGCTGGGGCTCTCTGAAGTCATCAGGACTGTTATTTACCCACGGCTGAACCTGCCTGAGCGGGAATGCCTTCAGCTTGGAAACCTTGCTGGAAATATTGGCAGAGCAGCTCCTGCAGGATTTTGAGCAACCCAGGCGCTTTGGCTGGGCGAGTGCTGAGCATGAATCACACTTATTTATAGCATGGGAGCGCCCAGCAAGTCCCTTACTTTTCTTTTCATGTGGAAAACAGCTCCGTGCCCACTGCAGGCCTCCCTGGCAGCCCTGGGGCAGCACCGAGGGAGGGGAGGATGCTCCAGCCCTCCCAAACCAAAACCACACCCCAGCAGGGGAATGGAGCACCTGGGACAAGGTTATGCCGGGCCGCAGCACCGGCGTGTCTTAAATGGACTTTTTTTAGCACAAGCACCTGGGGAAGGGCAGATCTGCTATGAGGAGACCCTTGCCAGTCTCTCTCCTGGAAACACCTATGTAGGATCTGGCTGTCCTCAGTTTAGGGGTGGCAGTCTAAGCTGGTTCCTCCTTTGATCACCTGGGCTTGGTTGCTCCTCGAAGGATTGCTGCAGAGTGTCTTAGAGAGACAGGAGCACTTTCTTTAACCCTGCAAACCTCTGGACATGCTCCAGGGCTTTCTTGTTCCTTGGAAGAGGCTGAGAAATGAGATTGAGAAGTGGCTCTGCCCTGAGTCCAAGGCCAGATGTGTTCCCATCCACCCACCTGTGTCACCATTCACCCACCTTAAGACAAAGGGAACCAGACTGGCTCATCCGTGATAAAACCAGCTCCACCCTGGCCAGAGGAGCAGTTTGGGTAGGAAAAGCTGCTGCTGAAGGCAGGGCAGGATGCTGCACACATCCCTGGTGCTGGGGTTAAGTGCAAACACACCCTTGCAGCCTGGGCTGGGTCAGGATTGAGGTTTCCTGCCTCTGTATCCCGGTGTGGCTCCCATCCCTTTGGGCTTTCTTCCATCAGTAGCTCCCCGTGGGGGGCCAGGGATGAGGTGGGACAGGGAAACCGTGACAGCTGTGCTGTCCCCAGGACTAACCCCTTCCCTCTGCGACCGGCAGGACCTGTGTGGTGCCACCACCTGTGACACGCTGGGAATGGCAGACGTGGGCACCATGTGTGACCCCAAGCGCAGCTGCTCCGTCATCGAGGACGATGGGCTGCCCTCGGCTTTCACCACCGCCCACGAGCTGGGTAAGGCTCCCAGCTCTCCTCCTCCTCTCAGGAGTAATGCTTTTTTCTCTTCAAGCCAGGTCTTACAAGCTCTCATAGACAAACATCACACCCTTGGCAGCTCAGCTACCTCAGGTGGCATAAAAGAAGCAGGATGGCTCCTGTGACAGTGTTGGAAACAAAATTTTTAATAAAAAGCAAAATAAAAAAGCTCTTTACAGACAAAAACTGGGCCAGGGCAAGAGGTTTTTGCTCCTGCTAAAACACCCCACAAAATTTTCTTTTGTTCTCTTCTTTTTCTAGTTAATTGCTTAGGTGGGATTTTTTTGGCTCCTGTGCAATTAGCTCTCCTTAAGTTTGAGGTGAAATCCTCAAGGTCCTATGAGGTGTCTTTTAACCAAATTGAGGAGAGAAACTTCTGGGCTTTTTTCCTTTTTAAGGAGACAAAGGGTAACTTGTTTACTCTGTCAACAGGGGCACATTCCTACACAGGAGCAGTTCCAGGAGCTGGCAGGGTTCAGAACAGCCTTGATTTCAGCCTCTGGGTATCTGGTGATAGGGAAACTCTGCCTTGGGGACAAGACTCCCCCTGAGCCAGGTGGGAAAGGGCTGCTGAGGGAGCAAAAGGTGCTGCTCTCATGGTTGCTGCCACAGCTGGGTTTCCAGGATTCAGGAATCCTGAAATAACAGGCAGAGGGAACACCTGCCTCTGGGAGGGAGGAGACAGCGGGACAAGTGCTGAAGTCACCTGTCACCTTCTCTTCACAATTTCCTTTGCCCTTCCTTTTCCTTGTGCTTTCCATGTGCACGAGGCATCTGGGAGAGAGCTGGAATGTTTGCTGACTCTTCTGGGCTGTCCTTGTGGGTCTGCCCCACTCCATGTCTCAGTCTCCTCTGAAAGAAGCTGTTGGGGGGTTCCTGCTCCATGTGCTGTGCTGGGTTATTCATGCTGCCTCCCTTATCCCATCCCCAGGCCACGTCTTCAACATGCCCCACGACAACGTGAAGGCCTGTGAGGAGGTCTTTGGCCGGCTGAAGACCAACCACATGATGTCCCCCACCCTCATCCAGATCGACCGTGCCAACCCCTGGTCAGCCTGCAGCGCTGCCATCATCACCGACTTCCTGGACAGTGGCCATGGTGAGCCCTGCTGTGCCCCTCACCCCCTGCCCGTGTCCCTGGTCCCCAGGAACAGGGTCTATCCCTGCAGGTGCTTACTGGGAAAAGATAGTTGGCTGTAGAGCTCTTCCTCTCCTGGCTCTGTAAACAAATTTAGAAGGAAATGGGAGGTTTCTGTAGCGTCCAGACCTCCTGGGTGTCCCCAGCAGTGACATCTGCACGCAGGCTGCTGGCACAGCTCCAAGGCATCACCAGGAGGTAAAATCATCAGCCAAGATCAAGGGTATCCCTGGGGTAGCTTTGGCCCAATCTCTCCCTCACCTCCCTGCGACGGTGCTTTCCTGCCCCGCTCTGGGCCATAAACCCCCAGGACCTGGTGGAGCCCCTCTCCCCACTCCTGCAGGGGACTGTTTGCTGGACCAGCCTGCCAAACCCATCCCTCTGCCCGAAGACCTGCCGGGGACGAGCTACAGCCTGAACCAGCAGTGCGAGCTGGCCTTCGGCGTGGGCTCCAAGCCCTGCCCCTACATGCAGTACTGCGCCAAGCTGTGGTGCACGGGCAAGGCGCGCGGGCAGATCGTCTGCCAGACCCGCCACTTCCCCTGGGCCGACGGCACCGCCTGCGGCGACGGCCGCTTCTGCCTCAAGGGAGCCTGCGTGGAGAGGCACAACGTCAGCAAGTACAGGGTGAGTGCCTGCTGGGAGCCCCAAAACACCCCACAGGGTCACTCAGTGAGTACAGGGTGGGTACCTGTGCTGGAAAACCCCAAAACACCCCACAAGGTCACTCAGTGAGTGCAGGTTGGGTACCTGTGCTGGGAGACCCCAAAACTCCTCACAAGGTCACTCAGTGAGTGCAGGTTGGGTACCTGTGCTGGAAAACCCCAAACCACCCAACAGGGTCACTCAGTGAGTACAGGATGGATACCTGTGCTGGGAGACCCCAAAACTCCTCACAGGGTCACTCAGTGAGTACAGGGTGGGTACCTGTGCTGGGAGACCCCAAAACACCCCACAGGGTCACTCAGTGAGTATAGGGTGAGTACCTGTGCTGGGAGCTCCCAGAAACACCTTGTAGGGTCACTCAGTGAGTACAGGATGAGTATCTGTGCTGGGAGCCCCCAAAACCAGGGTGAGTGCCTGTGCTGGGACCCCAAAACACCTTGTAGGGTCACTCAATGAGTACAGGGTGGGTACCTGTGCTGGGAGCCCCCAAAAACATGGTGAGTGCCTGTGCTGGGACCCCAAAACACCTTGTAGGGTCACTCAGTGTCTATAGGATGAGTGCCTGTGCTGGGAGACCCAACACCACCCTACAGGGTCGCTCAGTGAGTACAGGCTGAGCGCCTGTGCTGGGAGCCCCAAAACAGCCCACAGGGTCACTCTGAGCACGTGCTGGCCCCCGTCTCCTGATGGTGGAGACCCAGCATTGCGACACTGATGTAGATAGAGCAGGAGATCCCTTGGGTATCATGTATTTCTCAAGGGGTGAGGCTGCTGCTCTGCTCCAGCCAGCCCTGGGCAATTTTCACAGAATTTGCTGTGTTGGAAGAGACCTACAAGGGTCATTCAGTCCAGCTAGTGGCCCTGCTCAGGACCATTCCCAAGAGTCACACCACACACCTGAGGGTATTGTCCAAGTGCTTCTTGAGCTCTGTCAGGCTTGGGGCTGTGACCACTTTCCTGGGAGCCTGTCCCAGTGCCTCAGCACCGTCTGGGGGACGAACCTTTTAGTGATATCCAACCCAACCCTCCCTGACACAACTTCGGATCCCCCCTTGGGTCCTGTCACTGGTCACCACAGAGAAGAGATCAGTGCCCACCACTTGGATTCCCGTCTCCAGGAAGGTTTGTGGGCGGTTGGAGGTTTCACTTGTGAAGGGATGGCTCTGAGTGTGGAAAGGATGGACTCCAGGTGTGGAAAGGATGGGTGTGCAGCGCCTCACGCCGTCCCTCCCTGCAGGTGGACGGAGGCTGGGCCAAGTGGGCGCCGTACGGGCCGTGCTCGCGGACCTGTGGCGGTGGGGTGCAGCTGGCCAGGCGGGAATGCACCGACCCCGTGCCGGCCAACGGGGGCTCCTACTGCGAGGGCATCCGCGTCAAGTACCGCTCCTGCAACCTGGAGCCCTGTGCTGCTGCAGGTAAGGGCTGGGGCTCGGCTCGGCCTGTAACAACCCCACAAAACTAAAGCTGGAGGTGCAGGCTGGCGCCCAACAACACATCCCTGTTATTTCCAGTGCCAGGGAAGAGCTTCCGTGAGGAACAGTGTGAGGCTTTCAACGGCTACAGTCACAGCACGAACCGCCTGACTGCCTCCATCTCCTGGGTTCCCAAATACTCCGGTGTCTCGCCCCGGGATAAGTGCAAGCTCATCTGCCGGGCCAACGGCACCGGCTACTTCTATGTGCTGGCACCCAAGGTTGGTGAGAGACCCCCAGGGTCAGTGCCTGACTGTGGGATGGCTCCAGTGCACCTGGAGATAAATAGATTTTCCTTGTCTGGTGGGTGGATGGTGTTAGATGAGATGCCACCAGTCTGGTGTGATTCAGCTTGGTGCTGGAGCTGGTCCCTGGAGAGTCTTCCCCTGGAAGATGTCATTTTTACCTCTTGTAAACGTGCCTCTGGCATATTCCTGTGGTCCTGGGATAGAGGATGATAGTTCGTGCTGGGGAAGCATCAGGCAGGGCAGGGGGGACATCCAGACATGGGACATCCAGAGCAGGATGGTGTTAGCAGTGTCCCCTGTGCAGCTTGTTCCCTGCAATGGAAAGGGCAGGAAATTCTGTGGATGGGAGAAAAGGGATGAAGTCCCACATATCTCTGTCTCAGAGACCTCAAAATCCTGCCTGCAAAGCAGAACATGAGCAAAGACCAACATGGTGCCTGCTGGCATCTCCTGTCTGATGGATTGGGGTGGGATGGACACAGCTGGGATGTCTTGGGAAGTGTGAGAGGGAAATGCAGCAGCTTGTTTTCCTCACCTGGTTTAGGTTGTGGATGGCACCCCTTGCTCCCCGGACTCCACTTCGGTCTGTGTCCAGGGCAAATGCATCAAGGCAGGCTGTGATGGGAAGTTGGGCTCCAAGAAGAAGTTTGACAAATGCAGTGTCTGCGGAGGAGACAACAAGAGCTGCAAGAAGGTTTCAGGCTTGTTCACCAAGCCCATGTGAGTATTTGGTTACCCTGTGTGCTTCTCTTACTCCAGCTCTGTGTTTTGGTGTGGGGGGTGCAGGAAGGTTGTGGAGATGATGTTGATGGGATAAATCCATCCTGAGCCAAATCTGCTGGTGCTCGTGTAGATCACTGCACAGACACCTGGGCTGGCTCTGAAGGAGCAGCAGGACACTTTTAATGTTCTGTTGACTTCTGCTGATGGAGAGCTGTTGAGCCAGAGGGGCTGAAGCATCTTCCTGTAAGTGGGTGTCATCAGCCTAGACAAAACTCAACGCAGCGAGGAGATTCAAAATGATTTTCACAGGAAGAAGGCAAACATAGGGGTGGGAGGACCTCAGGGCTGAAGTAATGCACTATGTCCCCATGCCTGATGTCCTGCCCTGCCCGCTCCTCTCTTTCAGGCACGGCTACAACTTTGTGGTGGTCATCCCCGCGGGCGCCTCCAACATTGACATCCGGCAGCGGGGCTACAAAGGGCTCATCAGCGATGACAACTACCTGGCGCTGAAGAACGCGCAGGGCAAGTACCTGCTGAACGGCCACTTCATCGTCTCGGCCGTCGAGAGGGACCTGATGGTGAAGGGCAGCGTCCTGCGCTACAGCGGCACCGGCACCGCCGTCGAGAGCCTCCAGGCCTTCAAGCCCATCCAGGAACCCCTGACTCTGGAGGTGCTCTCCGTGGGAAAGATGACCCCTCCTCGGGTGCGCTACTCCTTCTACCTCCCCAAGGAGAGCAAGGAGGACAAGTCCTCCTACAAGAAGGAGGGCAAGACCCCGCCGGACCTCAACAACAGCGTCCTCAGCCTGTCCAACCGCCTGGATGGCGGGAGGCCGAGCTACAAGCGCCCGTCCTACAAGTGGGCGGTGGGTGGCTGGGAGGCGTGCTCCGTGTCCTGCGGTGATGGATTGCAGAAGCGCTCGGTGGCTTGCCGCGACTCCTACGGCCAACCGGCCGCCGAGTGCGACGCGGCGCAGCGCCCCGCCGACGTCCGGCTCTGCGGGGAGCCCTGCCCATCCTGGGAAGCTGGACCGTGGTCTTCCTGCTCCAAGAGCTGTGGTCGGGGTTTCAAGAGACGGGCGTTGAAGTGCTTGGTGCCGACGGGGCGCCTGCTGCCCCGGGAGAGTTGCAATTTTCGGAGGAAGCCACAGGAGCTGGATTTCTGCACCTTGAGGCCGTGCTGAGCAGGTCAAGGGGTGCCTGCAAGGAAGGGCATGGTGTTCTTATGGCTGGGTGCAGCCAAGCAGCAGCCGGAGGTTGGGAGTGGGGGAGATGTCCATAGCACATAGCAAAAGGGGGAAAAATAAGAAAAAAATGGGGAAAAAAATGGACCTGGGTGTGGGGACAGCCCCATTCACCTGGGAGAGAGGGCTTTTACCAACCAGGTCACTTAGAGACAGAGCAGGAATGAACATCTACCTCGAAGCCACTGAATGACATGGAAACCACCGGTGGAGGCTGGGAACTGGGGGGACAGATGGAAGCGAGGAGGATCATCCCTGCCTGTGGTGGATCTGTGGTACAGGCAGGGAGATGCCCCTAAATTGCACAGATGAAGCCTCCCCCCACCTTCCCAGGACCAACCCTACCTCCCTTCTCCCTGGACTCCCCCAACACTCATGCTGAATGGGACCAAAAGGATTTACCAATGCAACGACTACCGGTGCGATGAGGCGCTGGGACTGATGCCTCCAGGATTTGCTGGTGGGGACTTTTTTGTCCCAGCAGCATCCCCGGGCCAGGCTGGAAGGTGGTGGCTTTATTTTCATTCTCTCCTCGTGTTTATGACCTGACCAGTGTAAATTTTATGGTGCTTAACTCTGTATTTTTTTAACCTCCTTTCTCCCCTCCTGGTGGATGTAAACCTTGCGTAGCAGGGCTGGTGTTATTCCCAGGGGATCTCACCAGCCTGAGGTTTCCTATGGTGCTTTGGGATGGGGCTGTGTGAACATCCAGATGCTCCTTTACACCCTGGTCCACCTGAAGCTTTTCAGGGCTAAAAGGGACCACAACGGAGGTTTGAGCTGTCATTCCAAAAAAAGCAACACGGAACTGTGTTGTAGTTCCAAAGGGTCAGACACAGCCCCCCGGTCACTGAGACTTCGCTTTGCTCTGGAAATGGTGCTCAATGCTCAATGGGACCGGTGTGTCATGCCCAGACATCCCATAGCCTCCTGCCTTTATCCAGGCTGGGGTATTTTTCCTCTGTGTAAAGCCTCTCTGAGATATCCTCAGCTCTATCAGAGCTGGGGTCACTTCCCTGGCATCCCTTTTGAGCTGAGGGAGAGGGAGATTAATTTGGGTCTTTGGCTTTCCTGAGGAAAAAGGGGCTCAGCGGGGTTCAGGCATGCAGGGAAAGAGGGACTGTCAAACCTCTTGCTGCTGCAAAGCATCTACAGCCAGTTTCCCCCTGCAGTTATTCTGGGGTAGTTCTGTACCTCTGGGGTTATTCTGCGCCTCTGATGGTTTAGTAGCATCGTGCCTGTTGTGGTCAGAGGCTGTTTTACCTCTTCCAAACCCCATTCATCACTGAGGTCTCTTGCTCAATCAAATAATCAGGCACCATTGAATTTTTTGCTTTGTCACTGATGCAGGTGCCTCTTAATCAACGAGCTGTGACTCTGAGCAAGCCAAAGCTTCTGGGTCAAGCTGTGCACTTACTGGGATCAGCAGGAAGGTGTTTTAGGGATGAGACACATATTTTGGGTAGGCAGAAGATGCCATCTGAGCAAATAAAGGCTTGGAGCCTGACATGTTGGAGGTACAACAAGAAAACTCTGTTGCCCCTTGGGTGGCTCCAGAAGGTCTCCAGCTGTGAGCAAAGCAAGAATGACAAGAAATGGGACAGGTGGCATGAGAGTTCCCTTCTTAGGTCTTTCCAGCAGCTCACAAACTCCTTGTGACAATGTTTGTGGGCTCATCCTCCCTGGGGATCCTCCTAGAAGATCGATCTCTTTCAACACAATCATGTTTTAGGTCTCCACGCTGCTCCACAAAGCCAGGAGCAGATGTTGTGGTTGCTCTGCACAGCAGGGAACGGGAGTTAATGTTCTTAGGAAATCCCTTCCAGGTCTCCATTCCCATGAACATACCACCCATTTTCTGAGGGTTTTCCTGCATATCTGAGCCCACTGCGCTTCCCTCTGGGGACAGAGCTCTGAGGAGCTGCCCTTTAGTGTCCTGCCATCCCACAGCTGGTTCCTAAGCCACCGAGAAATTGTCAGCCTCGCTCCTGAGGAGGGGAGGGATTCCTCGTGTGTGGTTCTTTTGCTGAGGGTGCAGCAGAAGGACGGAGATGCCGATGGTACTGGCTGCTTTGTGTATACCATGTATACTGAACATCGATCTCTGCTGTTTGTGCGTCAGTAGCAAACCTGAAATAAATCGTATTTAAAGTTACACCCCAGGGACACGGTCCTGCAAGGGTTGTTTTGTTGGTGGCTGCAGGGTGTTCTTTGTGTTATTGTGATCCTGAGCCCGTTATAGTGTCAGCTCATTAACTAAAGAACAAAACTGATACCTTTTGTGCTTACCTAAAAACAGAGGCCAGACAAAATTCAGAGAATAAAAAGTGGTTTGATTTATTGAAGGGTCTTCAAGTACATTTAGGGCAGATAAAGCCCCCTCAGGGCCTACACCCAAAAATGGACAATGGGTCATGGGTTTTCACACTTTTATAAGTTTGGTTCATTTGCATAATGGGGGGTGAATCTGCCAATTACAGCTTCAGCTGATGAAGTAATTTATCCCAAGTTTGCTCCCCCCAACTCCCTTTTGTTTCCATCTCTGGGGCCTGAGGCAGTGAGGAGTCCTTGATTGCCAGGCCTGGAGAGGAATTGCTGTGTCTGCTTCAAATGGGGAAGCAGCAGCTCACACTGGATATGGAGTTTAGAGTTATTCACTGAAGAACTGCAGGTTACAAACAGATGAAAAATATAAAAGCTAAAATCCTAAGGCATCAAAACCAATAACTTTATATGCCTAACAGGTTTATTCTGAGTTGGTTCTGCTGCAGGATTGGTTTCTGGTAAAAAAGAAGCCCAACCTGAAGGAGCCCTGTGGTGAATCAGTCCCTGTGAGCCTCAAGGGAACCAGGGATGCTCACTGAAGGAGGCTGGTTTGCCTTAGGCTCGAATCAGGATGTTCTTTTGTCAGGGTGACAGGAATATGGAGTTAAAAGGATTGATGTAAACTGGAACAGCACTCTCACATCCTGGAACAACCCTGTCTGTGTGTTCCTCCTAAAATTCTCAGCACACCCTCCCTGAGTCAGAGCTCTCTTTCTTCCCTGTTGCACCGGGGCCAATGGTGAGATAAATCCCTTCCTTTTCCTGGGACGTGTCAGCTCAGCGTGCCTGATGTCACCTCCTCCAGCTCCCAGCAGGTTGCCTAGGATTTTATTTACCCTCAGCAAACACAATTTATTCCCCCATTCTGTTTTAATGATTTGGCACATTTCCTGTGTTTTATTTGGGGGAGAAAGCTCAGTTTGCTTTCCATCATCACAGAATCCCAGAACAGTCTGTGTTGGAAGGGACCATGAAGATCATCTCATTCCATCCCCTTCTGCCACAAACAGGGACACCTTCCACTACCCCAGGCTGCTCCAAACCCTGTCCAACCTGGCCTTGGACACTTCCAGGGATGGAGCAGCCACAGCTGCTCTGTGCCAGGGCCTCCCCAGCCTCACAGGGAACAATTTCTCCCTAATGTTTAATCCTAAAAAACTGACACAGCTGAGAACCTTCCCCCTCAGCAGCTCCTACAGGGAGCCTCCCCTCACAATAAAGTTCACTTTCACCTCAAATCTATCCCACCCTGCAAAGCCAAGAGTTGCAAATGGCTTTACTCCACCCGTTATAGCCATAACTTTTGCCTCAAGCATCTGTTCAGGAGCAGAAAATTAATTTTAAACCATCACCTCACTCCTCCAGGTGACAGCCCCACATTTTTAACCAGGTGCCCTTAAAGATCACCCGGAGAGGCAAAAAACCCCACATAATCCCCAAGTATTTACCTGGAGTATATATATATATACATATACAAAATATAATATAAAATAATATAATACATTTTTATACATCTATATTTTTACTATGCATATGTTTTCATTTAGTATATATTATTTTATGAAAGATATATAAATATATAAAATACACATATATAAATACATACATATATGTAATAAATAAAAAGAAACACAAACACACACACACACTATATATATATATATATATAAATAAATAAATATTTATTTATTTATATATATATTTTTTTTACTTTGTGAGGAAGAAATAAACCCAGCATCAAGGCCAAAATCACCCTGTGGAAGGGAAGAAGGGTGTTTAGGGAGGGAAAGATGGTGATGGATTAGATGGACAACAGGTGAGTGACACAGATTTTGTCCTGCATCTGTATCAAGCCTCAAGGCACAGGAACAGGCTCCTAGTGCAGGAGGAATGATGTGGGGCATCAGATTTTCTGTCTGAGAAGAAGGGGTGGCTTTTCCTGCTGTCATGAGATGCTGCATTTGATGCTTCTCTGGATTCCCCATTTTCCAGCACTAAAAGATTTTATTGTTTCTTCCCTTTGCTGCGAATTTGTCGTATTTGGATCCTGCAGTAGCTAATAAAAGACTGAACTGGCTGCTTTTCCCTTCAGGGGACACTGATGTGCCTTCACCTGCAGGGAAGGGAAGGTCAGGATGATCAGATGGAGCAATAAGCAGGAGACCCATCCCCTCAGGCCAAGGAATCATGGCCAGGAATCCCCATTTTGGTCCAGATCCATCCCTGGCTGAGCTGGAGAGCTGAAGATGGCTTGGGCAGAGCACATCAAATGTCTTTAGGGAGCTAAAACTCAGTCCTGCCTCTGGGACTGCCTGCAAATCTGCTTGTTTACATTTGTCTTGTGCTGAAACCCAAGAAGCTTAAAATATTTTTTAAAAAAAGGATTACCTGGAGTGTAAGGGAGAGAAACTATGGAGGGAGAGGGAAATGCTCCTGCCTCATCTGGTGTTTTGGTCCAGGGCTTCGACGTGGCCGTGGATCAGCTCCCTGGGGTTGGGATGCTGCCTTGCTATTTTTATATCTCTACGTACACACACACACATAAATATATATTACTGCCATCACTATTAATAATAATTATAATTACTGGGCTTTGCCAGGAGACAAAAGCAAAACCAGACGTACGTTGAACTAATGGAGCTAATTGATAACACATGTCCTGCAGAAAACCTCTCCTGGGAGAAGAAAGAAACTGGGAAGGGCTGTGCTGTGCCTGGGAAAAGGGGAATGTTCACTCGAGCTGGGGATGTAAAACAAAATGCTGACGTGGAGCCAGGATGTGAGACCCCAGCCCCTCTTCCCATTTCCTCCATCAGCACAAAATCCTGCTCCTCGAGCAGGAAAGGCTGTCCCCACTGTGGAACCTCGGAGAATGGTCTGAATGCTGGTCAGGCAGCCAGAGGAAGCCTGGACAGTTCTGACTGGGATGGAGACGAGCTCCAGCACGGTGTGGGACCAGCTGGAAGAGATGCCAAGGCCCCGGCAGTGCCGACCCCCTGGCCCTTGCAGCAGACTAAACTTCCCCTGTTGTCCTCCCAGCCAGCAAACTGACACGTTCCCACAAGCATTTCTGCTGGTTTGGGTTTATTTCTTTTCTTTCTTTAAAATTTTTTTTCTGATTCTCCAACACGGTCAGTGCCAATTTGTCTGTCCGACACTAATCTGGCAGGCAGGGCTCGTGGATTTATGGCCAGCAAACTCCCACCTCTTATTGACCAGTGGCAGGAGGAGGATTGTGTCTTTTTGGAGGTCTCCATCACATACTTTCACTCCTGTAAATGCAAAATCCTCGCAGAAGTGATGGCAGGAGGAGCGAGACGGGGTCAGCATCTCTGAGGGAATGAGCTGAGTAAATCAGGCAGCTGTTAAAGATTATAATCCTTAACTAGGTAAAAACCCCTGGAAATCGCAGCCATGGGGTGAGTGGTGAGAGCTTTCCAGCCAACTCCTGGGGAAGGTGCTGCCTTTGGATTTAGCCTAATTAATATCAAGTTCAGCCAAGCAAGCCTGGGAGGTGGATGGGCTCCCAAATGGTTTTTTAATGTGCCATGATTATTTTTTAAAGGTTTCTTTATTTTCCCCCCACTTGTAAATGAATTTAGTGCTGGTGAAAGGTGTTGGATTGACAACCCTGGAAATATAAGTCCTCAAGGAACAATGTTTTGGAGTTGTGAAGGGAACAACACTGTGTGTAATCGAGATGTAAAGGTAATTATTTGCTGTAACAGCTGCTTTTTGCTCTAAATTAAAAAATAGAGACCACAGGGATTCGTCAGAGCATCTGAGACATTTTCAGGTGACTGAAGCATTGGACACAGTCAGAGCTGGCTAAATACACTGTCCTGGAGCTGCTGAAGCACTCAGGGCCACGTTTCAGTATTTAATTGCTATTTTCACTTGAAAACCTGCACAGTTTTTTCAGCCCTTAAGCACGATCTTAATGTTGAGCAGGGACCTCAGCACCTCCCTGCTCAATACAGCCTGCAAGCAAAGCTGGAAGCTTCCACTGAGGCTGAGTCAAAGCCTTTGGGGTGTTCAGAGAGGACAAAATACCCAGAATAAATCCCTCCCCAGCACACAAATTGTATGCTGTGGGCCTTTTCTGCAACTCTGTCACTGAAAATGTTTTCAAAGTGCAGCATCCAGGCTCTGGAGAGTATAAACACCTCTCCAAATGGTGCTCAGTGCAGAGAATCATCATGACAGAGCTAATGCAGGAGCTCTGTGCTCTCCCTGTGCTGCCCAGGAGCAGCCCCAGCTGCAGGAACCCAGGCAGGAGAGTCAGGGAAGGACATCTGGACCAGGGATGGAAGGAAAGAAGCAGCAGGATGACGAGGAGTAGGCTGAGTCTATCAAAGCATGGCCTATCTGGGCATCTTTAAGGAATCTCAGGGAATTTGGGGATAAAAAACCAATACTAAATACTAAAATTTCTGGATAAAAAACCCAGTGCTAGATGTTTTGTGGAATTAGGGAGATGAAAGGCCACTTCTTCATCCATCTTCAGACACCCCCAGGATTCAGGAGGTGAGATCTGGGGTTTGGGGTCGTACTTGGGGTCATGCATGGTCATCATGGCAAGGAATGGCCTTGATTAGTGTTTTCCCAAGTTGCCCATTAACCCCTGGGCTTCAGCACTTACTTTGGAGGTGAGGATATATTAGGTGGAAAAACAAACACAGGGGAAAAGGGACACTGAAAGACAGGGAGAACCTGGGCTGAGCTGTTTTCTCCCAAAGGAAAGAGAAAAAGAGCGAGCAGAGAGAAAAGGAAATGAGGAGAAAGAATAAAAACACGAGAAACCTCAAGAGGGAGATGCTAATGCAAAGC